GTTGATGTCATACTGCTGATAAGAATGAAAATAAACAAACTGAAGCTGCTGCAAGTAATATACACCCGTGTACGCCTTGCAACTCATGTCATACTGATGTCAAGTAAACAATTTAAGCAAACTGATGCTGCAAATAAACAAATTGAAGCTGCTGCTGAAAATAAACAAACTGATGTCATACTGCTGGCAAGTAATGAAAGTGTTCCCAATCACCAATTGACAAAAAATAATTGGCTGCCTCTAAGCACAGAAAACTGTCTCAAAATAAAGTTCACAAAAACATCGGCCTAACATTTGTTACACCAAAACATCCATCATACAGTGCTATGTAAAAACAAAATTCTCCGTCCACAATAAGCATCATTTTCACTTCTCAGAGTCTCAGACTGGATGGCGTAAATGCTCTCCACCTTCATGGGAGAAACCTTGATAGACATATGGCATAACTAGACCTAGTGAGGAGGAGAAAAATTAGGACATTTCCTTCTCATCAATAAATGTCATATCCACCGCAGGCACAGTCGAAGCATCTCCTACTACATTTTTGTTGTCCAATATATTCAAATTCTCTACAACGTTATCACATTCCACCAACAACTCGTGATTCCCGTCTTCCATAGTTTTCCTTCCTGCCACAAAGCATATTATGAAGTTATGCTGCAATATGTAATGTACAGAAACAAACTATCGAAACAGAAAACATAATTTAGGTTCGATTAGGCCATTTCTAGAAACAAATATGGGTTCGGACATAGTAAACTATTATTCATCGTCTTCTACTACTGGAACCCGGGTACATTTCACTCCAATTTTCCTCATTTTAAGCAATTAGCATAGAAAGATCAGGTTTAAATATCCCAAAATATAACCCATTTCCAATTTTAAATACCCCAAAATTTAACCCAATTTCAGCTTTAAATATCCCAAAAATATAGATTCCAAAAACACTAAAATGCATGACAACAAACCTTACAAAGCTGTAAGCGCACCCAAATCGATCCGGAATAGCTTTAGCCCATTTTCAGTTTTAAATCTCCCAAAATTTAACCCATTTTCAGCTTTAAACATCCCAAAAATATAGCAAACAAAAACACTAAAATGCATCACAACAAACCTTAAAAAGCTGTAACACTCACCTGTAGCAAAATCAGTAACCATCAGAATGTTCTTTGCTGTTTCTTCAGCAAAGCATTGGCCCATTTTTCAGCTTGATATCAATAATGCGTTCTTGCATGGGTTTGTTGACGAGGAAATTTATTTGAAGCCTCCAGAAGGATATAAAACGCTTAAGGAAGGACGGGTGTGTAAATTAAAACGGTCACTTTATGGTTTGAAACAGGCTAGCTGACAATGGAACTCAGAATTTTGCAAACACTTACATCTTTATGGCTTCACTCAATCCGCTCATGATAATTGTTTGTTCATTCTTCGTTCAGATCATGTTATCACTGTTCTTCTGGTCTATGTTGATGATGTACTTTTCACTGGGACAGATGATAGGGAATTGCAGAAGGTAAAAGAGTTTCTTGACACTACATTCACTATCAAGGATTTGGGCCTTGCTAGATATTTCTTGGGAATAGAAATTGCTCGTTGCCCAGAAGGTTTGTATCTCAACCAAAGAAAATATGCTATGGATATTGTAACTGATGCTGGTTTGATTGGTTCTAAACCTGTGGATATACCACTGCCAAAGGGACATAAGTTCACTGCTGAAGGTGTTCCTTATCACCAACCTGATCAATATAGGAGGTTGGTGGGTCGATTACTCTATCTCAATTTTACCAGACCAGATTTATCTTATGTTGTTCAGCAGCTCAGCCAGTTCGTCAATTCACCTACTGTCTCGCATTGGGAGTCTGCATTACATTTACTGAAATACATAAAGGGAACTTTATCCAAAGGTCTCTTCTTTCCTTCTTCCAACAGTTTTAAACTAACAGCTTATTGTGATGCGGATTGGGCTTCTTGTTCAGATTCTAGAAAATCTTTGACTGGTTATTGCATTTTTTGGGTGGTGCTCTCATCTCCTGGAAGTCGAAGAAGCAGCAAACAGTTTCCCAGAGTTCTGCTGAATCTGAATATCGGAGTATGGCTGCAACTGTATGTGAACTTCAATAGATCACCTATTTTCTTCATGATTTTTGCATTTCCCCAGTTCTTTCGATTCCTCTTTGGTGTGACAATCAGGCAGCTCTTCACATTAGTGCCAATCCGGTCATCCATGAGAGGACGAAGCATCTGGAAATCGATTGTCATATGGTTCGTAATCAATACAAGGCTGGTCTCATTCGTCCTCAACATATCTCTTCCAACGCTCAAGCTGCAGATAGCTTTACAAAGTCTCATCCATCTCCTCAATTCCAGTTTTTACTTTTCAAGTTGGGCTTGATGGATTTTCTTCAATCTCCAACTTGAGGGGGATGTACAGATTATTTCTTAAGGGACTTAATTGCTCTTCTTACATAACTTAGGTCCTTCTTTGTAATAAAGAAATAGTTTGTTGTTCTGTTCGTTCAAGTTAGTTTCAATTTTCTTTTTTTCCTTGGTCTATAAATAGACCTCCATTGCTGTACCTTGAAGGCAAGTAATGAATAAATTGATGAGTTCTTTTACTTGAACACGTTTTATGTCGAAAAATGTAATTTGCATTTTCTTTGCATCTTTTCATTGGAGAGATTGTTGACCATTTTGAATGTCTAAATCACAATTTAGATCAAATTTAGAGCATCATTGGAGATTATTTAAAACATTAGGCTAATACATCATGGATTAAAATAATGCACTAGACTAATTTAAATAAGTGGGAACTAAGCTAATTCTGTACGGATAAGTCATTTGAGTCCATATCTAAGACAAACAGTCCCTTGAGTCATGATTACTCTTTTGGGTATGTGAAAAAAAAATTAAATATTAAATTATCAAAATTTTGACAGTTTCGTGCTTCAAGGTCTCACTTTTCAGCTCGGTCGAGAGTCGGAGGGTTTATTTGCGGTTGTAACTGGAAAAACTTTACCATTTCAAAGTAAATATTAGGGCATGTTTGATTCATCCTATTTTTCATGGAATTTGAAAATTATTTTTCAAGTTTCAAGTCTTTCGTTGTTTGATGGCAAAAATTTTCTTGGTAAAACATTTTCAGCCCAATCCCTCACGTGACCCTTTTTCCATGTTTTAAGTGAATTGGTTTTCCCACCAAAGTGGGAAAGTGATTTCCAGATTGTTTTTTTTTTTTTTTTTTTT